AACCCTCCAGTGGTAACTGCATCGATTACCTTTAAATTGTCATGTTTCTTTATTCGCTGCCACTAGACTACCGTTCATAATCTGAGACTGAGGCATTTGGCTATTGAATTTACTTGGAGCGGCCTTGGTCAATACCTGATTGTGTTCCGATTAGCTCATAACTTGCTCACGATTGACATTCACAAGACAAGCTCTATTTAAAAAAGGTATTTTTCTTTTCTATCCATTATTCAGATCTCTTATCGTTGGACCAAGCCTGAGCTTGCGTTGGTGTTGACGGCGATGTCGCGTCTTGGTGATGACTTTGAGGCAATAAGCAAGACGGTTGGCACAAAAACTGAAAGCTTTATTCGTGATTTTTACAACACTGCCAGAACCAAGTATCCACTGACAGAAATTATGAGGTAAGACAACCGTATCCTATGGGGATTAATTTCGAGATGTATAAATGGGCGTCCCTATATAACGATATTCTGCAAATTTTGCATTCTTGGAATGGCATTGGAAAATTTTTCTTTACTTAATTTGTGCTAGATATCTTAACCCATACTTGATTTGGGTTTGACGAATTTCAATTTCTTAGCCCATATATCATATTCCTTGTTAAGCACAATTTGTACACTCTTATCCATACTTTAGTACGTCAGCAATAATTCACTACTTAGTCCTACCCTTTAATCACTTTTTTGTATTTAAAATATTTCACTGTTATTTGCTAAGTTTCTTTTTTTACGTATACTCGCTAGCCTAACAACCTTACTTTAATGCAATTATTACCATTCTGATTCATGTATTTTCGTGATTAAACAAAATTTTCCACCTTTCATGTATACCTCTTCAGACTGAGTGGCCGCCCTCTGCGCCAAGATGTTTTACAAAATGTTCAGACCCCAACTTCGGTCAAGCCAGAACAGGCAGATGCGCCTCAGGTCTCCACAAGTGTTGAGGTGTCGCTACCGTCATCCACATCCACAACAGTTAACGGTGTACAGGCCACCTATGAAGATGAAGATGATGTCTACACACCAAAGTTGGGCCGTAAGCGTGTTCGACGTGATGCGTCCTCTATTTCTATTCTTGACACAAAAGCCAGTACCATTAAAGCCACCTCTGGAGCTGAGTGTGATGGCCAAATCACAGCAGAACCGGCAACTGAGCGGACGGATTCCTATTTCTCAGCGATTTCTCAAAAGTGCTCAGCTACTACCCCACTTTGGATTCCTCCAATGACAGTCGCACTGACAACCGGCCAGGCACCAGATGATGACAGTCCATCACCACCCCGTAAATTGCTAGGCCTATCTCGGCCCGGTCATACAGCCCCTGTCCAAAATGGAGCTATCACGAAGGCAACCATGTTCCGCCCTATACGTCGGTAAGCTTGGATTGATTAGTCCTCCTGTTCCATCCCTTATGAGATCGCTTCCTTTCATTTCTCAACTGTTCGGCCTTCTTATCCTAATCTATCCTCACTAGTAAATATCGGCTGTTTTCAACTTCAATGCACTAATTCAACAACCCGTGTGCTTTCCCGTTATTTCTCTAATAAATTAATTTCCAGATCTTATAATCACAAGCTCACATTTATTCTCTTTCGATTTTCATATCATTTTCTCATTTATCCTCTCTTTATCACATATTCACATCTCCAATCGGCCAGATCCACTAATCTACTCTTCCATGCTTCGGAGGTCGACAGCCCTAATTGATTTAACTGTAATAATTGTTCAATTCTTGTCTGGTGACTATCCAATTAGTCTTCTCGTGAGTACGACTTGATTTTCAACAAAGAATCTCAGGGCTTCTCGATTTTCCCGTTAATTTTTGCTTTCACGTGATTGATGTGACTCCCAGTTCCCGCCGTTCCTGCTGGTTGATTATCCTTGCTGAGCATACGACGCCGTATTCCCATTGTTGCAAATTGTAAATTAGTTTTTTTTCTAATTACCACTTATCGTAATCTCGTAAGTGGTATTTTGAAACCATGTCTTTGTCATAGACCAGAACTGCTCTAGCTATCGTTAGGGTTTGCTCTATAAGTGTTATACATTTGATTCAGACTGAGATGAGACGAATCAAGCCTAGATATTTTGTCATCTCTTTTCTCTATCAGTATTAATCTCTACGATCACAGCATCATGCCGCGGTTTATTTACTCTTACCACGGACTATAGTCCGTAACCTTTTATTATTTCTTCAAAGTGCAATTTCCCATAACATAATTGTCATCGACATCGAAAATACTTGATGGTATCACTTATCTTATTCCTTTATATATCGTACATCCACTCATCTCTTAGGCTTCTTCATGCTTTTCTTCTATCTGTCTTTACCAGATGCTTGGACCCCCATGAAAAATGCTGGCGTTCATCATGTAACCATTAAGGTCAAATAACTTGACCTAGCCGTATGCATTCTCACTACCAAGTCAATTTGTACACTTATTATGGGTACACATATATGCATATTATTTCGTGTATACTTCTGTAGAATTGCAAAGCTGTAATGAAATTGAATGTTTTATACTGAGAAATATTTAAGAAAAAGTGTGGTATGATATGGACTTAGAAACTTTAATATTCCAGGAGGAAACTATTAAGAAAAAAATTAGTCATTTAAAGAAATCTGCCAACCATCAGCCAGGGAAGATTCTTGGCGGCATCGCGGGTGGAACTCAACCCAAAATTTTAAAATGGGGAAACTCGACGGTTCATTCTTGTCACTGCCTTTTTGGTTAGGCTGTCGACATGGAATACAAATTTTGACATGATCTTATATTTCGAATAAAAATCTGGTTGGAAGGAA